ATTGTAAAGGAGGGTTCCTTCTTTTGGAAGTTTGCCTATATTGATCCTGGGGGAGGGAATGAGGTTTCTTTTTGGCATGATGTGTGGATTCCTGGGAAACACTTAGTGAGAGAGTTTCCAAGGATTGCAGCAGCTACCCAATCCTTGGACGTGTATGTTTCTGACATGTTTGATGTGGATGACAGGTTGTTTCAAACAATTCCCCTTTCCATTGCACTACGAGGAGGTGCACATCAGGAGTATCTCGATCTAATGCAGCTCCTCTCAACTCTTCATCCCTTGATGATTACCGTTGGGCCTCCATCTTTGGTGTGGCCACTTGAGAGTTTGAGGGGGTTCTCTGTGCACTCTTTTGCTACCAAGCTCATACAGGATGAATTCAAGGGAGATAGTTCCTTCCCCCACAAACTTATTTGGATCCCTCTCGTTCCTTCTAAAATTTGTTGCTTTGTGTGGATGGCGGCTCATAACAAGGTATCTACGTTGGATAATCTTCGTAGAAGAGGCATGACTTTCCCTAACCGATGCCCATTATGTAAGTGCAATGAGGAGTCCATCTCTCACATTCTTTTCTCATGTCCTTTTGCCTCTACTGTTTGGTCTACCTTCCGGAAGGTCTTTGCAATCTTTGGGCCATTTCCAGAGGACCCGAAAATGTTTTTGATAGCATGGAGAGGTGCGGTTTGTCTTTCTCGATTTAATAGGTGCAAGAGGTTTCTTCCTCATGCAGTGTTTTGGCTTATTTGGTTGGAAAGAAATCATCGGGTTTTCAGAGATACAGAGTCACCACCACGAAGCATTTGCTATAAGATCATTCATTCGGTTGGGAGATGGATGCTCGCTCGAAAGTTGATTACAGATGACGTGTGCGTGGAATGGTTCCGAATATTATCCACTAGTTAGATAGTTTTTATTCTTCAGTGTGTTTGTGTTGTAATGTAGTATCAGGAGAGGAGCGTTTTTCTTTGTTTTTTTAGTCTTCTCTTTTTGTGTCGTTCTTGGTTTGAGTTTTCGTCTCATCTTTGGGGTTTTTCTTAGTGTTTTTTCGTTGTTGTTTTCAGTTTTGTTTTTTTCCTTGCTCTTTTCAACTGTTGGTTGAATTTTTGTCTTATTTTCTTTTTGTCCGTCTCAATAAAATTTCCTCATTTATAAAAAAAAAAATTTCTCCCAACAACTCGAGTTATTGGGATCAACTGGTTCTGAACAGTATCACCACAAAAGATTTGACGACTTATCATTAGCAACGACCCTTAGTGTTGGTGGCAGAAAGTCTCTTTTTTGTCGCAGTTTTGCTGTTACAACTGTAGTTAACAAAGGTTTAAACTTTCTTTTTGATGACTTTTATTACCATAATATCTGTATTGCCATCTGAAAAGATAAAAAAAAATTCTATCGTATTTGAGACCACACATTAATGCGAATGAGCTAGTCAGAGACTGTACTTAACTTAATTACTCTCTTATATCAGAGATCTGGAAACCTAAGAAGTGGAATAAGTCCCCAAAAGAAAAAGAAAAACCCTTAGAATGTGACCATTACGTACGTGGTCCAGAGAAGAAGAACCAATTATGTGTATAGACAATTTGAAGTGGCCGGAGCAGCTAAGTAATTAAACCAAAGGACGTCCTATGAAGCTACAAGACGGGCGTGGGCGATAGATATACACATATGGAGCTCAAATCGATGTCTCTTTGAGCAACAAACAGCCAAATATCCTTTCTCGTGAACATTCCTGATGACTGTTCGATCTCTTCCCATTTGCAACGATGGATCCATGTACAAATTTTGCTTATGAAACCCGACAATGGCATACGTACAACCAACAATACACAGAGACTGAGCGAGCGAGAGAGATAGTTTTGTGAAGAGGTACGTTCGTGGGGATGGAGCTAAGGCCTGTAGCGGCCGGGGGGCCTAGCTTGTTCACTCTAGCAGCTTTAATTCCCATTTCTTCCTGCACCACTGAAACTCTGCCTAAATATAATATGGTCCATGATATGGCATTATTCCAAAGCTTCACGTGCCATCATTTTGTCACTAATGACTCCCTTTTCCATTATGAGAGAACTAACTAGCGGCTTGCTTGTGCTGCTAATCTTTTGTACAAGTGTGGATTCCTCTCATACTCTAATTGGCCACAACGTCACTGAGTATGCATGTATTGTGAGGGATTTCCTAATATTAGTGCTAATAATTCGAATTGTTGAAAAAACGTTTAAAAAAATATCTTATATCTCAGCATGTTATATTAGTTAGACAGTGAGAAAAACACGAGATTCATTTGATGAGTACTCCATCTACGAGGTGGAATCAAACATTGGTACGTTAGCATCCGTGCTGGCTCTATATATATAATGCTCACAACATGATAACTTGCTCCGTGATTTATCACGATGTTGAAGACCAAAACTTGGGTGGTAACCATTCTTCATGCTGAATTGATGTGGATTTCATGACATCTCGAATCAGCACGACGAATGATGAATTTCAAGAAGATCAAGTCGTACACTACAAGAAAAATGGCTTTTTGCAACCAATAAAATTGGTTCCTAAAGGTCAAAAATTGGTTATAAAAACCTTTTTGCGACCAAAATATTTTGGTAGCAGCATTGGTCGCTATAGCCGCGTTACTAATTCCTAGCGCAACCAAAATGTGGATTGGTAGCAAAAAAGAATTCTTTCGCAACAAAATTCGCCAATGGTAAAAAAACCTTACTTTTTCGCGACCATTTTAATTTGGTTGTTATAGTCCAACCTAATGGTTGGGAAATATAATTGATTGGTCGCGAAAAATAAAAATAACAACCAATTTTATGTGACTATTAGTAACCAATTTTTTTGGTCGCAAATAGAATTTACGTATGTTTTATAGGTGACCATTCAATTTGGTCGGGAAATTAACATATGTCAACCAATTATATCATTACAACGACCAATTGTTTAGGTTACGAAAATTTAAAGCAACCATGAAATTTGGTCGTGAAAAGCACATATGCCGACCAATTATATCATTTTAGACGACTAATTATATTTGTTATAAAAGTTTAACACAACCATAACAATTGGTCGTGAAAAACATATATCTCAACCAATTAAAACATTTTGATGACCAATAGAATTGGTTATGAAAGTTTAACGCAACCTTAAAAATTGGTCGTCAAAGATACATATGTTGACCAATCATATCATTTTTGGCAACTAATCACTTTAGTTATGAAATTGTTATGCGACCATAAATCTTGGTCGTCAAAAATCCATATACCGACCAATCATATTATCTAAGGCAACTAATTTTATTAGTTATAAAAATTTAACACAACCATAATAATTGGTCGTAAAATATATGAATGGCGACCAACCATACCCTTTACAACTAATTCTTATGGTTATAAAAGTTTAAATGCAACCATAAGAATTGGTTGCGGAAAACATATACGCCGACCAAAAAATTCATTTCATATGACCAATTTGGTCGATGAGATTTGAGTCACTAAAATGAAAATATAAAAAATTAATAGAATTATAATAACAAAATTATTTCATATAACAAAATTGTTTACCAACCAAAATTATAATTACACAATTTATTGTTTAGTGACCAAAACTACAATTACACCAAATTATCACCAAGAATCAGCCTACTATTTCAAGTTCAAAGGCACAAAGGCTAAGCTCAACTTCCCTGAACGAGTGCAAGGCCAATCATTCTCCACCTACGTTGTTAACACATCCGGTACCAGCAGCAGCGTCGCCTCGTCAGCACCACCTCGTCCAGCTGCTGCAGCACTGTCGCCGCCAACTCCTCCTCCTTCGACTCAGCTACCGCCACATGGCGGCTGCCCTCACCTGCTTCAGTACGCCAACATCCTCTCAAGCGACTGTGAATCCGATTTTCAGTACCACGCTTCAAACCTCTTCATGACCCAACACGATCATCAGCAGGCTCCGTTTGGTCATCCCCAATCGTCTTCAACATTTTATGGTGTAATTCAACCTGAGACGAAGCAAAAACCCAGGATACTTCTTCTGCCGTGTTATGCAGAACCCAGGATACTTGAGACATTCAACCTGAGACGAAGCAAGAGAACTAATCATACCTAATGAAATTGTAATGAGCAGACAGTGGCTCTGCATCTTCCATAGCCATAAACATACATAGAACAACATAACACAATTTCAAGTTCATATGCTACACGCCACCAAAGATTTGCACTTTCTCTATGCGAAGCCATTAGAGACGTTCAAAACTAGGATACAACAATGCTCATCAGCATTCCTTCAATGAATCATTGAAACAGGATCCATAACCATACCAACCTAAATTCCTTATTCAAGGGTAATGGTGGACCTTTTTGCACTCAGTTGACTGAAGGGCTAGTACATGTTATATACAGAGCAGAAACCACTTACACGAATGAATTTAACACCAGGATAAAACTCAGCAGCAGCTTCCTCAAGTACTTTGTCAAGATGTCTTGTGTAATTACCTCTACGACATGGGAAGTTAAATGTCAGATGAAGATTGCTGAAACTCCATTTGACTGCTGCTCCATTTGGTTCAGTAATGCACCAATCTGATTCCTTTAGTTATCCTGAAAGAAGTATACAATTGGCAAAACAGTAAAAATGGGATAAACCCAAATAAGCACTCAAAACCACAATAACAACTCCATAGCTCCACCTGTACAAGTTAAAACCATTCCTTCACACCCTCCTTTCAAGCCTCCATGTGATGATGACGTGTTACTGTTGTAAGTTCTCCAGTTTTAACATCAGTCAAACAACAAAACATGCTTTTGTGTCCCCCCCCCTAATGCCACAACTTCATCCAGTCAAAGCCTCACTCCACGGAGAGACCAAATAAATGATCCAAGAGGCCCATCACACCGATATCTATGAGAATTTGCTTTCCCTTAGATCAACAGCTTCTCAATGGCATCCTGCATTTCACAAAGAAAGGAATATCAAATTAGAACACTGTATTCATGTCCCAGGAATCTTCAATGAGTAAAATGAACAATTGTGGTGGAGACACCATATACCTTGAGCTGCTGAATCTGGGATTTCAGTTGGCTTCCTTCGTTGGTTGTCATAGAACAAGCAATGACTGGTCTCGTGACACCGCAGGCTCTCCCGAGTGCTTGCTTTGAAGGAACAAACACATATGGGACATTCTGAACAAACACAAACAAACAGTGGATGTGATCAAACAAGCTGAAGCACCTAATCAAACGAAACTTAAACAAAAGGTTTCCCCTTTCTCATTCAACACACTAAAAGAAAGCGTCAAACAGAGAGAGGACCTACCTTGTCCTCAGCAAGCAACGGAAGGTGCAGAAGAATCTCAAGGGGCTCGGTATCCGCAGCCATGACAACAAACTCAGAGATACCCCTACTCAGTGTCTTGGTAGCTGAAACAAAAGAAACCCAGCTCCATGCTATTCCACAGAGTAACAAAACCTAAACCACAAATCAGGCTTAAAACCCCCATTTGTGGTTTAGCTAAAACCTAAACCACAAATCAGGCTTAAAAAACTTCCCACTTCCATGCTATTCCACAGAGTAACAAAAGCAATGACAAGTAGTAGCAATCAATACCTTCATTTGCTCCTTTCTTGAGCTGCTTGTAGTTAGCCGCTTGCTGAACTAGGTCGAGAATGGTGATTTCCCCTGAACACGAACTGAAGAAAGGTTTTGTTTCAAGCATATGGAATGATGTGTTTCAAGCATATGGAACGAAGAAGTTAAGCTCTAGCAAATTAGAAAACCCTAACCTAATCTCTAGGGCGCCGGATGAAGCACTCGACGGCTCCTCGAACTTTATTCAGAAAAACCACAACGAAAAATCACACCGAAGCATAACAACGATCAGTTCTAGTAAGATTTAGAATATTGACCTCAATCGATAACTGATAAGTTCTTACCCGACGCACGGACCAAGGGCGAGATCGGAGAGGCGAAGGAGAAAGCATCGGTTCCTTCGGCGGCAGCACTACTCGCGATCAAAATCGCAGCAACGCTGGCGAGGGATTGGAGCGGCGCTCGTGCTCTAGGCTGGCGCATGTGCCTTCTCCTCTTCCTCGGCCGTCGCCGACACCGACACAATCGGCCGCAATCGAAGTCAAAGCGGAGTCGTCTCGACGACGATGGAGTGCTCTCAGACGCTGGCGAGGGATTCGATCCGCAATCGTCTAGAAAACAGGAGTTGTTACGAGAAGAAGCGGAGAAGGAATTGGCCAAAAATGGAGGCGAGATTATTTGCAATCAAAATCACAGTGATCGATTTCAGATCGGCGAAGGAGGAGAGATCTCTGACGGTACCTCAGCTACCAAATCAAAGATTGGCGAAGGATCAGGATTTCGCCCGGCAAAGGATCGCAATTTTGTAGGTGATTTGCTGTGTGGGAATCGAAATTGAAAAAAATAAAAACAGACAAAACATATGCTGCGCAGGAAAATGTGCAATTATTTTAAACATACCTATTGCCTGACTCAAGTCTTCTCTAGTGACGGGCCCAAGCCAGGAAATTCACAGCCCGCATACGCTTGTTGACCAGACCGCCATACCAATAAACCCATTTCTGATCAGATCTGTCAAATCAGGCAAACCAAGAACAAAAAAAAAAGAGATGGTTTCCCGTGTCCCAAACAAAGGGGACAAAAAAATTGCCACAAAAAAATCCCTAAATCCCTACAACATCCACGAGTATGTCATCAACAGAAGGAAAGAACTAGAGGCTTCCTTCCTCATTTCATCCCTCTCACTGTTTTCCTAAGGTAACCCAACCCTACCTCTTCACTCTACTGAAGAACCATATTCACATTTGGTAGATATAGCCGCTGGTTTCCTCTGTCTTGTGCGAGGACTAAAACTCTGTTTTCACCAGGTGCTTTTTCTGAAAATGGATAAAAGCTGGATGACTGCAAGAAAATGGTCAAAAGAGTACGTTGAAGGAGTCGGACATTTTCTGAAATTCGTTGAAGATCACATGTGTGATAGTTCTGAAATACGGTGTCCTTGTGTTCGTTGCTTAAACACAAACAAGTTTAGTCTTCAAGAGGTAAGCAACCATCTTTACATTCATGGAATAGATGCACGCTATAGAGATTGGATATACCATGGAGAGACATCAACTTACAGAATACCAAGAGGTACAACATCAGTAGAGGGAACTCAGAATGTGACTATTGATTTTCATGAAAGTGGTGATGATGACCATGGATTAAATGAAATGCTTGATGACCTGGGTACATACAGGGACAATTGTCCAAGGGCTCCGGAGAGTCCGAATTTTGAGGAACTATTTAGGGAAGCAAAAAAGGAGTTATATCCTGGTTGTACTAGCTTTTCAAGATTGTCATTTGTGGTGAAATTGTTACATCTGAAGGTTTCTAATAATTGGAGCGACAAGTCATTTAACACATTATTGGATTTGTTAAGACAAGCTTTTCCTAGCGGCGAGACACTCCCCAAGTCTCTTTATGATGCAAGGAAGATGTTACTTGAGCTGGGGCTAGGATATGAAATGATAGATGTATGCAAATATGATTGTGTACTCTTTTGGGATGAGTATGAACGTGAGACACATTGTCCTGTTTGTAAGACTTCTAGATATAAACTTGATGATGGTCAAGGGAAGCAAGTTCCACATAAGAGATTGCGATACTTCCCTTTAATACCAAGACTTCAACGGTTGTTTGTGTCACCTAAAACCAGTTCTGACATGAGATGGCATAAAGAGAAGCGAGTTGATGATGGTGAGATCTTAAGTCATCCAGCCGACTCCGCAGCTTGGAAGGACTTTGATAAAGAGTTTCCATGGTTTGCTGAAGATTGTCGAAATGTGAGATTAGGAATAGCTACTGATGGTTTCAATCCCTTCGGCAACATGAATAATTCTTACAGCATGTGGCCGGTGGTTGTTACATTATACAATTTGGCTCCATGGATGTGCACCAAAGAACCATTTCTCATATTGTCATTGCTTATTCCTGGGCCTTCTTCACCCGGAAAAGATATCAATGTGTACTTAAGACCGTTGATAAAGGATTTAAGGTTGCTTTGGGAAAGAGGTGTTGAAACTTATGATGCATCAAGTGGCAAAATCTTTCAGATGCATGCAGCGGTCTTATGGACAATCAATGATTTCCCAGCTTACGGAACTTTATCCGCTTGGAGTACAAAAGGCTACATGGCATGCCCCGTTTGCAACAAAGATACATACAGTGAGACATTGAGGAGCAAAATCTGTTACATGGGGCATCGCTGCCACTTGCCAGCCAATCATCGTTGGAGAAGAAGTAAGGGATTTGATGGGAAGGTAGAACATCGAGTGGCACCAAAAGAATTATCTGGTGATGACATTCTGAGGCAAATGGAGAATCTTCCACATGAGGATCACGGTAAGCATCCAGACAAGAGAAAGAGAAAACGTACACTCGAGGAGTTGAATTGGACAAGAAAATCCATTCTTTTTGAGTTGCCTTATTGGAGTAAGTTGAAGTTGAGGCATAATCTTGATGTCATGCACATTGAGAAAAATATTTGTGAAAGCATTTTAGGGACATTGTTAAATATTGAAGGGAAGACAAAGGACACAATAAAAGCAAGAAGAGACTTGGAGGACATGAATATAAGGACTGAATTACATTTGAAGATGAACTCAGATGGATCTTACAAGGCTCCGCTAGCATGTTATCAACTATTGAAAGATGAAAGGGTTAGGTTTTGTGAGTTTTTAAAATCCGTGAAGTTTCCTGATGGATATGCTTCCAATATCTCTCGTTGTGCAAACTCACATGAAGGAAAGATTGTTGGACTGAAAACTCATGATTGCCATATTCTTCTGCAACAATTGCTAGCTCCGGGACTCCGTGGATATTTGGCGAAGGATGTGTATGTTGTCTTGGCAGAGCTAGGAGACTTCTTTAGGAGATTGTGTTCAAAAGCAGTGCGTGTAGCTGATATTCAACAAATGAAGAAAGACATAGTCATCATACTTTGCAAGCTTGAAATGATATTTCCACCTGCCTTTTTTGATGTCATGGTGCACTTGGCTGTTCACTTACCTAGAGAAATTGAACTTGGTGGACCAATTCAGTTTAGATGGATGTATCCAATTGAAAGGTAATACCTACGATTAACTACTTTGTGAACACTGTTTGGACATGTTGTTGCATAATACTAACTTTAAGTTTATGCTCCTAACCCTTTTTCAGGTTCTTAAAAACTCTTAAAAGTTCTGTTGCAAATAAAGCTCGAGCAGAAGGGTGTATTGCAGAGGCTCGTGTGGTCAAAGAAGGTTTGAGGTTTTGTTCCATGTATCTTCATGGAATTGAAACTGAATTCAATCGTGAAGAACGAAACTTTGTTAATGTATCTGATGGGGGTTTATCTATTTTCTCACAAAAGATTCGTCCTTTAAGGGGGTTTGAGTTTGTCAACATGAATGACAAAGACCGTGAAACAGCCACCTGGTATATACTCAACAATTGCCCAGAAATCGAACCATATTTGGAGTAAGTACACTACAAAATTTAATTGATAACACATTTCTAGAAAATGTTATTTATTGATTCATCATATATGTATATTCCAGACTTCATAAAACGATGCTGAAACAAGAAAGTGATCAAAATTTGGAGCAAAGGCATCGACAACTATTTCCAAAATGGTTTGATAATCATGTAAGTTTTCATACGCCTTAAAATGATAATTTATTATTTTGGACTTTGTTTTGCACCCTGTAATGTGTTATATTCCGACTTTCTTGTAGATCAAAAGTTTATATCTTCAGAAACCTCCCAAAGTGTCAAAGTCCTTGTATGCCTTAGCTTGTGGTCCTCGTAAGAGTGTGAAGAAGTACAAAAAGTGCATTGTGAATGGTGTCAGATTTCATACCATAGACCAAACCATCCGTTCTAGTACCCAAAATAGTGGTGTCATGACTGAAGCATACCATGCTGGTTGCTTGATAGACTTCTATGGTGTAATTGAAGAAATTATTTTACTTGAATATGTGAAGGACCACAGGGTTATGGTATTCAAGTGTGGGTGGTTTAAAGTAGGTGATAAGAGAGGTATACAAACAGATGGACATCTAACAAGCATTAATGTTAGTAGTCGATGGTATGAAAATGACTCATTTATCTTGGCTGAACAAGCCAAGAAAGTCTTCTATGTGGATGACACTAAATTAGGGCATAATTGGAAGGTTGTGAGAAAATTTCAGCATTGACATATCTTTGATTTGCCTCAAGTAAGCTCTACAGAGACAGATTCCGAGGAATCTGAAGACATTGGTGACTTTGTATTTCAAGAGGAAGAATCAAACATTGATGTGAGTCATGTGGTAGAAGACCATAATGCAAACTTGAGTAGGCCTGATTTGGATGTTGAGATGGTGGAAGTCCCCGAAACAAATTTGGGTGGTGAAGATGATGATGCTGCCGGTACCATAGATGATACATTGGATGAATATGTTAGTGATTCTGAACCAACTCAACCTATGGATGTTGTGCTAGAGGAAGATTCGGACATATGATCAAGGTATGTGACTTGCTTGTAATTGTGCTTTAGGGTTTGTGCGATCAACAACTAATATATTGAATAATTATTGCAGGTATTTGTTGAAGGGGAATATATGTTAATTGGCTAGAAGAGTGCATCATGTATCCAGATAGAAAGGACACTGCTTGTCAGGGATTTGTCTCCTAGGATAGACTTAGAACAAGTTTGTCTCCTCATAGAAGTTATATTTACTTGTTATGTAATTGGTTAGAAGAGTGCATCATGCACATACAGCTGCTGCTTTGTTTCTTCTCAATCAAAATGACCATTTATTAGTTAATCTAAATATGTTTGTCTCCGAACCAGCTGTTGGCTTTGTTACAAATTAGTTGACTTTGTTTCAGTTCCTGCATGTTTATATAGGGATGCTATTCAACCAGCAAACAAGGAAAGACAACAAAATGTATTCACCAACAGTTATAAGCTGTCATTTAAAACTTAACAGCAGCATATCTCAATCACAGGCCAGGAAATTCCATACTGTTTGATATATTCTGAGATGATAGTGATAGAGAACAAAGAGTAACACTCAAAATCAAACTTTCTATAAGAACCCTCAAACCCCCCCTCATTAAGAACACTCAAAGCCGAGTTTTCTGCCCATGAAGAACCACTCCCAGTATCTCCTTTACTTCAGCTTTGACAGATAGAGAAATTGCTAGCATCTAATTACTTACAAATGTGGGATAAGGATTACAAATGTGTGAAACTAAAAGAGATGGTCATCATCCATCAGAACAGCTCAAACACCCTCATTAAGAACACTCCAAATCAAACTTTCTGTCCGCGAAGAATCACTCCGAGTAACTCTTTTACGTCAGCCAGCTCTGCCTTTAAGATTCCCATTCCAGATACTTCTTCTCTCAGCAAACCAACTTCTGTCCTCAGACTTACACATTCAGATTTCCAGCCATTTTTCTCGGTTTCAACTTGCTTCAAAGCTGCTTCCAACCTCTTGTTTGTTGAATTTGAAGAAGCAATCGGTTTTGGACCATGACCAAGACCACTTATGTAGCCCGGTTTTTCACCAAGAACAGTGTTACATATTTCATCTACTGTCATCTTCCCCTCGGCTTGTAGTTCCTGCATCTTGTTCTGAAATATGGCAAAAGACACAACTTAAGTAAAGATTCACAAGTTTTCATAGATTAAAGAAAAAAGTAAAGACACTAGGTCAAAATACTAACATAATTGGCCTCGGCATGCTCACTCTGCCATCCTTTTGCTTCAGAATGATAAGCTCTTTTTTACAAAGTAATTCGATCACACTCCTCGCCGTTCAATTCAGTCTTTTTCTACAAAGAGAAATACAGTAAATATTGCTAACATAGCACAGGGAGGAAGTATGAACTGCTAAGTGACCCTGCAGAAAAACAAAGACAGAAATATACAGTCGATAAATCACATAAATCTTACAACTTCCTCGCGAAGAACAACGAAAGCTTTACGTCCTTGACGATGCATAGCTTTGATCTTCTGCCGATTCATTGTATTCATTTCAGCAATATGCTGCAAAATATACAGACACATACATACATACATAATGTCATATATATACATTCATTGTATTCTTATGCTGCAAAATACACAGACACATTTCAGCAATATGCTGCAAAATACAAAGACAGCAATATGCTGCAAAATACACAGACACATTTGTTCAGTTTATATTTTTATTGCTCATTTAGTGATATTACATCACAATTAATTCTAAAAAAAGGAAAAGCTAATAACAACGTACCATAGTTTTACTGTCACTCCAGTAGTCAATCAAAACATTCCAATTCTCCTGGCTTATTCCAGAAGGCTTCTTTGCTCGAGCTTCCTCTGCATCTCGACAATTCAGAAAGATTTGCTTAAGGCGGTGACGTTGTTGCTTGCATTGTCTTTGTAACAACTCATTAATAGAATCCTGAACAGGCTCTTCTTCAATATCCTCCACTTCTAGTTGCATCTGTTATAAAAAAAATGGAACAGAAAATGTCAGTAATGTGACATCATAAAGCTAATAGAATAAGAAACTGATAATACTTACACCAAGCCTATCATACGCAGATGTTAAATGATTTTTCTTGAACTCCTTGGTCCAGCGAATCGGGATCTCATCCAAATACTCTCGGCTTATCAGACCAAGCTCACTAGACAGCTTGGCAGATTGGACACCGTTAGTTGGTCGACCTTGCATAACGTCGATCTTGATAGGCAACTTCTCCTTACCCATAGCAGCAGCCAACTTGACAGTATCCAAACCTCTGGTAGGGCCTCTTGTGTTGTTCTTCTTTTGATGATTTGGATTTTCATTCCCAGATGAAGAAAACATCATATCTTCTTCTACCTCGAATTCATTAAGAATTTCTTCTCCTGTAGGTATGTCGTTGGCAGGAGCCTTGACCTTTTTTGAAACATTAGGCTGGGCAGATTCGTTCCAAGAAGCAGGCAGGCCTCTAGTTTTTTTTTCTTCTTCGTATTTGGATCATTATGTACAACTTCTGAAGGTCCACTGTTTGGACGAACATTGAACATCTTTGAAACATTAGGTTGGGTAGATTGTTTCGAAGAAGAAGCAAATACTTTGTTGCCCTGCTGACTTTGTCGTTTCATATAGAGTGCCATGATCAACTTATCCTATATAACAGAAATGGAAAAAATCAGCATCATAATAAAAGTAATAAAAGGATTATGTATTGATCGACTATACTGTTCTAGTTAGATATCATCAAACCATTACACCTAGGATCTATCTCCTTGTCATCTCAACAAGAAGGTAGGTCTAACTAATTTAACTTTTTAACCACACTAACACAACATAAGCAGCCACAATACTGCAGAATGTGGACAAACAGCCAGCTAAACTTGATTAAATATAGACAAAAAAATCTCTCAGCAAGCACTTTGTTCGAAGAGAATCGACAGTAACCTCTATAAGGATCCCATCTAGAGAAATTCCTTGTCTCCCCTAACTCAATAAAAAGGAAAAGAACTAGGATCTAAAATGCTCATCTACAGACCTACCATTGACTGCTCGAGGGATGGTTCAGAACACTAAAAATGCAGTTACTACCGGCTAGAGGAGCAACAATAGAAACAATGAAATGTAAGACCAGTTTAACATGCGACGGAGTTACAAGATCTGAGGAAGAACAGAAGAAGGTATGCAGCAGGTAATATGAAACACCAAGCACTCAATGTCTTTTTAACTCATGGTAATTGAAACAGAGGTGCACATTGCAGAAATAACTAACATAGGGATCTTAATTACAACAATCCATTGCTTTTCTCTACCCCTGCAGCTCCAGTTTACAGAATCGCTTTATACACGGAACATATGTTGTTTACCTGAAGCTTGAAGTCAGCCGGTGATAATTAAATAGCTTAGGATTGGCTGACACCATGATATAAAAAAAATAAAAAAAGACCAGTCGAGATAGTCGAGGAGTTGCCTAGACCTTCTCAAGAGAAATGCATTATGACAAGTTGTATGCAGCAGAGAGTCTATTTGAATCATCAACTATCCCTTTCAATTCTCTAATCTCAAACAAGTAAACCACCTAGATACTAAATTCCATTCCACCTAACTACATGGATATGTAGCCAACCTCAGTAGTCGATCCCTCTCATCCTTGTAAGAAATCACATAAGGGCTCTGTTGACTCCTTCAGGCAACAAATTAACAAAGGAAAACAGTAGTGTCTTGAGAAAAGAACCTCAAGCAAATTTGTTTACAACAAACATATTCTTGGAGAAGACTTTTTCTTCATCAGCTCTAACATTTCAGATACCAACCAAGCAAAACAAACTCGAAACCATGCCCCTAATCTCATAAGGCCGAATCCGAAAACTACAGAACGCGCAATCGAATTCGATTCGCCAATCTCAAACAAGTAAATCTGCAATACATCGACTAAATCGAATCCAAGTTCGAATCCAGTTCAAATTCGAAATCAAGGTACGCAACTTGAACTCGGTATTCTGATACGATATGAAAAGATAACAAATCCGATGCGGATCGAAATTTGACCGAGCTCAAAGTGAAAATAGGATTCAATCGAATTTCAAACTAGTTAAGCTTAGATAGAAATCAGAAATAGGCTAGGATCTGTTACCTTATGAGAATCGACAGAGAGGGAGGAATTATCGAACGAAGCCGACGAACTCTTTATTTGCTTTCAAAATCGTGATTCCTCTGCAGACTGGAGTAGCCGAACCTCAAAGAAGCAAAATAGGGAATCAGATTAAGAGGAGACGGGAGAAGAGGAGAAGCTGGAGTCAGAACCGAAATCGAGAAGAGGAGGAGGAGAAATCTAATGGAATCGACATGAGGAGATGCAAGAATAAGAAGAGGAGGAGAACTCGGATGGAATCAAATAATGAAAGACAAGTCGAAAACCTCGTCTCTTACCCGACCGGCCGACCACTTGAATGGCAGCTAATGAACGACAACATTTGTTTTTCATAATTACTATTACAACCACTAAGTTTTAATAATATCAGATATAGTACCTATATAACAAATTGACAACCAAATAATTTAGTTGCTGAATTTTTTCATTGGATTTGCAACCAAATTTTTTAGTTATCTAAGACTTTCAAATCTCTTGCTTAAATTCATAACCAATAATATTTGGTTGGAGAAAGTAAAAATCAATATGCTACCAAATTATTTGGTTGGAAAAACTAAAAATAATTTTGCTACCAAATTTTTTTGGTTGGAAAAGGTAAAAATTATTTTGCTGCCAAATTATTTGGTCTCTTCAAGTTTTATTTGGTTATCAATACTTTGACTTTAATAGACAACCAAATTTTTAATATTTTAGCTACCAAAATATAATTGGTTGTAAATACTACCCTTTTCACAACCAATTTTAGTTTGGTTGTAAAAATTTTGGTTGCAAAAGCTAGTTTTTGTTGTAGTGGTAGTCTGGTATCTTGCTCCGTGCTTGACTTTAGCAAAGACGGAATATGCACATCCGAGCTTCACTTTCATTGGCTCGACCATCCAATTATATACAACATCACAACTCGAAAGTCGAGTCATTCATCTTTACCGTGAATGTAACTTTGCGAATATCATCAAACATTAACATTTTGAAATCGAGTTTCAAAGAGTTAAACCTAGTGACTTCTGTTTTTTTCCCCCTTGTGAGCAAAACCTAATGCTAGCTCTTGGTAGCTTCGGGCCCAAACATATAGAAGGACAGACAGTGGACTGCCCACCGTGGACATAGTGCTGACTCGTTTTGTTGGGTGATAATGTTTGGGTGACCAACAACCGGCAATGCGATTAATACTTTGGGTTGATTGATCTGTACGGCAATGAATGATGAGTGAAGTCTGATATATATTACACAAAGAAAATCATTGGACTGGAAGAAATCATGACCCTTAACGCCAACTAAGCACCTATTTTTGTTCTCTTTCTTTCTAACCAACTACTACAAAAACCACAGGATCCCTCTAGGGATGGCAAAAATATCCGTAACCGTGGATATCCGCCCGAATCCGACCTTGTCGGGTAGGGTAAAACTCGAACCCGAAGGACTTTTAGCGGGTACGGGTAAAACCCGAACCCGAATATTGCGGGTAGGGATGGCAATGGGTCGGGTCGGGGGCGGATAGTGCATATCCGTTACCCTACCCAATGTAGTTCGGGTTTTACCCATACCCGTACCCACACGAGAAACGGGTAGAAAATCAAAACCATGCCCATACCCGTTCGGGTTCGGGTATCCACGGTTATCCATGGGTAATAATTTCTCCTTATAATTCCAACCAATATGTTAACATTCACACGTATACTCACATTACGTAAGAGGAAAAGTACGACAATAATTCACTAGAATGAAGAAAATTAATTAAAACAACATAATTTAATGAAAATATTATATTTATATGCTAAATATAAAATATTCTAGAGAAAAATAATGATTATTTATAGACAAAATACATATGCATGTGTATAATCGGGCGGGTTCGGGTTGGATAGTGAGATAACCATGCCCACCCATTACCCGCAATATTCGGGTTCGGGTTTTACCCGTACCCACGAAAAATGCTTCGGGTTCGGGTTTTACCCTACCCGATTAGGTCCGATTCGGGTGGATATCCACGGTTACGGATATTTTTGCCATCCCTAATTGCGGGTAATGGGTGTACATGGTTTTCTCACTATCCAACCCGAACCCGCCCGATATACACATGCATATGTATTTTGTCTAGAAATAATCATTATTTTTCTCTAATACATTTTATATTTAGCATATAAATATAATCTTTTTCATGAAATTGTGTTATTTTAATGAATTTTCTCCATTCTAGTGAATTATTGTCATACTTATTCTCTTAGGTAATGTGAGAATACATGTGAATAATAACAATTTTGGTTGAAGTTATAAAGAGAAACTATTACCCATGGATAACCGTGGATACCCGAAACCGAAACGGGTATGGGCATGGTTTTGATTTTCTACCCGTTTCTTATGTGGGTATGGGTATGGATAAAACCCGAACTACTTTAGGTAGGATAATGGATATGCACTATCCGTCCCCGACCCGACCCATTGCCATCCCGACTCCCCTCCCCTCTCCTCTCACACCGCCGACACTCTTGTTGCAGAGCAATGGGAGGGGTTTTGGGCCGTATTCTAAGGGCCCAATGTTCAAGAAGATCTTACGCTTTGTTTTTCTAATGATAAGCTGTCAAGCCAGTAGCGACTACTACTAGGGAAAGCCCAACTGGTTGGAATAATGTACAGGCCGATACTACAGTGCCGCGATAAAAAATGCGGCACCGATGCCGCTCTATTTAATTGGTCCACATAAGCAACGAGAAAATGACATAGCACTGCTTAAATTTAATAACACCCAGCCCAAACGGCCAACCCCATCACCCACCCACGACCCCAAACCTCTGCAACCCGTCGATTGACCAAGAATTTTTTTTATATTTTCTTTAACTAAATTGTTTGTTCTGTTTTTTTTTCCTGTCGATAAATCCACCAATTTTTACAGTAAGAGATTGAAAAGTAACGGAGACAGTTCTGTGTCTCTCTCAGCCTCCCTCTCCGTCGCTCAAAACAACTAGATGTTCCGGCGAATTTCTCCACTGGTCGCTTCTGCCCATCCTCCACCTCCGTCGAACTGATTCAGCGCAACCGGATCCACATGATCCCAAGCCAAACAAAAAGATAACTGTCCTCCGCTTGCGTCATAAACCTCGTCGGATTGGATTCCTCGCCATTCATTTCAAGGTTTTATTACTTCCTTTTCTAATGTCTCGTTGATCCTCTATTCTTAGCTCTATTTTTAAAACCCAAAAAGAAACAATGGATTTGAGAAAGGACGGTCGAGAGGGAGAGAGAGAAACTCAATCAGCCTCCGCTCAGCTCATGCAATCTCTTGCAAGCTACGCACATCTCTCTAATTTTGATGTTTGCATATTTTTTTTCCCTTTCCTCTAACACTGTCGAATATTCAGCGTTATGGTCCAATTCCCATGATTTTTGGGGTCCATTGATTTGTGGGTCGTTGTCAAAATTTTGTCTTCCTGTTCTTCTGTTCCCGCATGTTGAGCGAACCAAGCTAGAGAGATATGGCGTCCAGTGGACTGGTTTTATCATTACTGGATGATGGCCCTGTTCTGATTATGCTTCCTTTAATGGCATTTAGTAGGTGCAGTTTTCTGGATGTCGACAATAGAAGAAAGGAGTGTATTGGGAACAAAGACATAGCTTACCCTCAAATCAGTGATAAGAGTCTTTAACTAATCAAGTAGACAACATCAAGTTAACGTAGATAAACAAAGCCAAGCTTGTCTTGATTTCTGGATTCTACAATAAGAAATAGAGTTAGTCCATCGATTTTCTGTCATTTTGATTCAATTCATTGTCAAGGAAACTGAAATTGTTCAATCAGAAATATGAGATGTTTCATATCATACAACGCTATTGGTTTTATGAATCTTCCATTTCAAGGCAAGAGCTGAACCAACTGTTTCATCGTAGTTATGCTTATGCTGCTACTGCACAGAGTTTTAGATATTCCCAATAACAATTATATTTAACGAAAAGTAATAACAATTAAGTACTTGTTTTTGTCAACGTCTAGTACTCATTTGAAGCCATTAGCTTCTCCTTCTTCTGTAGATTTTGGCTTGCAAGTTGAATGATTTAGTCTCAGCCTTGAGTGACCATTTTTTTAATCATATTATCCATGACAGTGTGGCGTTTCATAGGACAAAGTATCCGTGTGTGAAGAAACTGACAGAGCATTCAATTACATAGTGAAGTCCTTGAGTCTCGAAGATGTTAAGTCTTGGTACCTGAATTTTCTGCGAATAGATATAAATTTGAAGCACATATGTTGTACTTTTCCAGATTCTATATTTGAAAAATGTGTTATCAGCCTATAAAATGAAGTGAGGTGAACTATGTAGACAATCCGATTAACGTTAAGCTGACTTTCATAGGCTGTTTTGGGTACTGCTGTTGAGCCATATGGTCACCCCAACAGGCAACAGGTATACATAGAAGTGGGGAATGAGACTCTGTAGGTGTGCTGCGACAAGTTCATTGCTCTTCGGGTCGTCCAACGGAGAAGGCAGAGACTGAGGAAGACGACAGCGAGGGAGGGCAACTTTCTTGTGATTTGGCGGCGGTCGAGAAGTTCAACGGAGACGGAGGGGCGGTCAGAACAGGGTCCTTTCTTGCAAGTGGTTCTGTTTGACAGAAGAAATATAGGAGTATAATAAAGGAATTTAGAGGAGGCGAATGGAAAGTTGAGACTGGGTCGTCGACGGAAAAGTTCATTAGAAATTACTTTTGACCGATGGTGGAGAGCGCAAGGAAGATGACAGATTGCTTCTTCTGGTTACGATTTTTGTTTTTTTATTTATGGAGAAATACAAATTAAGTAAAATATTAAATGAATTTGAAAGGGGTCATGGGAAAGAAATAACTGACGAGAAATATAAAACAGAAAAAAAAAATTCTTGGTTTTGGGCGGGTAGCAGGAACTTGAGTTGGGCCGATTTATGGGCGGGTTTTGGCGACAACTCATAAATATAAGTAAATCCACATCATCTTCACCCGCCAACGTGGACCAATTATATGCCGCTGCACCGGTGCCGCATTTTTTACCGCGGCACTGTAGTATCGGCCTAATGTACATCATTGTTTGATCTTGTATTTACGCAGGTCGCAGGAGAATGAGTTGGGTTTTACGTACGTTCTAGGCCCAACTTCATGGAGCCATCAAAGGGAAGTTTCATGGTATAAAACAAGCCCAAGCCATCGCTGTAGCTTGCCACCCAATGCACGTGTCGTGGTCTCGTGGAGGAGTACTTTTACTCCAAACTGTGGGTTGGGCCTGGGAGGGAAGGCAATAGGGAATACATGTGTTTTTGAAATGACTCATAAGATTAAGGGATTGTTTGGAGAATATGAGTTCAAATCTATAGATTGTCAACAATTAGAAGTTTATAATTTTTCAGATTTTTTAAAATAGATTTTAAAATATTTATTGTTTGGTAACTGTGATTGATAACATTCAATGAAAATAATTTTTTTTATATTAGCATGTTTATCCTTCATAAAAAATTAGAGTGGTTCGAGAAATATTAAAAATTTTGTTTATAAATATATTTAATATGATAAATAAATAAAAGAAAAAAAAGGTAGTAGAAAAAAAATCTCACGAATCAAGATATAAAATCTCTCTGATTATGAGAGATTTGATATCCGTAGATTTTAGAGATTCAAAATCTCTAAAACTAAAATACAAAATACAACAAACAAAAAAAACATAAATTCTTTACAAAATCTACGAATTCAATGAATTCACGCCCTAAGTCCCGTTCTCCAAACGACCCCTAAATTCTAAATCAATGATTCTCACCTGCATTCTTTGTTTAAGAATCATATGAGATGGTAAGACGATCTCTTCCGAATATTTTTTTTAATCTCTTCAAGGTAGAGGTACAATTTATCCACCCAAACCTCTTCTTCCCCATCCATCAAATGGGTCGGTCTATTTTTTTTCTCAACACGTGTACGGGCAGATGGGCTTCTTAAAATCATGGGCTCGGGCCTGCAATTCAACACATAACAAGCCCATCTCCAAGACCGGCCTTTCACTACTCATCAATTGCTCGCCCTACTCATAATCTCCCATTCCTTTAATTTCTTTTTAGTTTATTCGTGGTTGACAATTTATCTAATCCCATATGTACCAGGGCGAGACAAAAAGACGTCCTAGCATCTCCTTCGATTCCGTTTCCTAGAGCTCACAAAACCATTCATCGGAGGTAAGATTCTCTTCATTTCTCAAAAAATGCATGCAGTAGGCTAGGTCTCCAGACTCGACGCACTCACCCACACTCCCTCAGGATGTGCTATTGAGTTTCCTTTAGGTCACAAAAGGGGCAACCTTTACTGTGTCTTTGTGTTCTTTATAGGATCTTCCCTCTTGTTGGTAAGATTTTTTGAAGTGAAGTAAAAAACCTGACCTTTATCGGTATTCTTAGTCCCCATAATTGTTCCTAATTCACCGGCGAGTATGATTTGCCAGAGCTTAATTATAAGCCGATTTAACACTGTATTTCAAATAAGGGATATTTACACCCCTGTCAACATAATGGCAAAACACTTTATTGGGTGTACAACAAAAAAATACGTCGATAAACATAACACCCTCCATTAAAAAGATGAATAATATATGATTCAATGAGGACCAAATGGGAAGAACAAAAGATACTACTGTGAGCTTGGTTCAAGTTAGTGAAGATTCTGTGGGTGGGCCCTTGCTTCGTGATTGTGTTCAGTTAGTGAGGTCCTGTTCCTCGTGTTTTGTTTTTAGTGCGGTTCCGAGGACTGCCAACTGGGCTGCCCATAGAGTGGCAAAGCAAGCCCTGTTGCTGTCCCCTGTAGAGATAGCGTCCTTTGATTTTGTAGGGTGGTTGCTTTTATAGTTTGTTTTGGGGTTCGGGTAGAGGTTGAACTATTGTTTCTCGATCTTACTTGGAAAAAAAAAAAAAAAGCTCAACCGAATGAAACTCGAACCAACGACCATTCAATATTCACCACATTTCAGGCTCCATTCTTCACACTCCCAGGCTCCATAAAAAGGGTGCTGTGCTCAAAAATCAAAATAAAAGCCTGAACTGAAAAGGACAGCCACTTAGCTTATAGCTTGAATGCGGAGAGCGGAGAATTTTTTGCCATACTTACTTTTGCTCGAGTGGTCAAAATCAAGCCCATGTTCCCAAGCGTAAAAAAGGCAAGCCCGTATACATAAGTGTCGTTTTCAAACCAGAGCTAGAGATTAAGGTTGTCGTTTCAGATAGTACAATAATGTACCATGCTATCACTGTACGTTGATATACATAGGGTTCTTTCCTCGTAGCTTTAGGGCTTGGAGATCTGTGTGCTGTCGAAATTACGTGCGGTGGGTCGAGGTCCTCCTTCCCTATGACACCGGCAAAGGCATCATATATTTGCAGGCAGTGGAATTGACTGTTTGTGACATTTCCGATCCCCTTTGCCTTTTTGACCAAACCAGCGGCTCAAAACATTTGGCACCATTGTTGCTTTTCATGGATATGTGAGGTAATAAGTTCTTGGGAAATTGTAGTTCTTGATGAAAGACGAGATAGATTCTTAATTAGATCGATTTGGAAGAAAATGATGGGTGGGTCTAATTTGAGTTTTGTGCTTATGCCTTTGGTACATTCACGCGGTTAAGTGGTTGGATCGGAGTGGGTTGTTTCACTTTCACTATGTTTGGCAACAAGGAGGTGCAAGTTTGAGTGGGTGCAAGTTGAGGGGTAAATTGCTGGGGTACAACTTGGTGGAGGGTGTAAGTGGATGAGTAAATTGTTGTTTGAATGAAAAAGTAAGGGGTGCAAATAGACTGAAAAGTAAGTAATTATATTATTATAAAATAAATTTATCAAAGTTATAAAATATTATCAGAAAATAATAAAATTAAAAATTAATATATAATAATAATAATAAATATATTTTAATAAAAACAATTATTTTATAATAATGCTCAAATAATAATTAATTATAACTACAATAATAATCATTGGTCGAGCGACCTCGAAACTCGAAACCCAACTTGTAACTGGTCCTCCTAAGGGGGTTCTCGTGCCTATATTAAATTGAATATTGTCAAACTTAGTCAAACACGTTCGAAACTGTAAGTTTTACCTATTTAGTTAAGTAAACTGAGTCAACTAAACCGCTCCTCTCTATCTTTTCCACAAACGCTTCTTATATCTAATTTTCAATATAAATTTGAGTCAACCAAGCGATATCGATTTGACTAGACGAACATTGACAAACTTGCTCTCGAAATCAAATGGTCAACCCCGAACGACGTCTACATTAGTGATAGCTATAACAAAAAAATTAATAATATTAATTATTAAGTAATTATAATACAATTATAATATAATTAAAAAAAAATCCATAATTTCCCCTACCCCTCCCTCTTCCTTCCTTCCTTCCCTTGCACCCCAATTGGGGGGTAAGCCGAAATAGTAATTCCGCACCCCCGTTTTGCACCCCTACTGTTACAAATTATCCGAAGAAGTGCAAATGTCTTGGAAACTGTATTTACCCCTCCCATTTGCACCCTCCTCCCATTTACAGCTCTTCCCAAACATAGTGAGTCAGAAGAGATACTATAACTCTATCAATATCAACGATAGAGATCAATAAAATGTGTCTATTTTCTTGTTGTTTATGCTTAGCACTCATTCACAAGGGACACGTAATGGACATGAAGAATGAGTTTGATTATTTTGGTCACAGGTTATTTAGGCCTTGTTTGTTTAATGGATTTGGTACATAAAAATCAACCATCATGGATTTTGTACACAATTCGTCGTTTGCTTGATGGATTTAGCAGGGACAAATCCATGGGGCCCACAGTTTTTAGGGTGCAAATCCGTGAACCCCACGGACTAGGAAATTCCATAGGGGTGGGATTTGTGTGGGTGTCTCAAGTCCATGATGGTTATTTACTATTTTATCCTCATTTTATTTTGTTTCCAACAATAAATAAGATATAGTAAGGGTAGATAGGTAAATTCATAATGTAACCATACTTATAATTATGCAAAATCCATCATCAAATCTATCAAACAAACAATGGCTTTATCCAAAAACCAAATTGACCAATTCCATCAGAAATCTTTGGTTTTATAAATCTCAAAATTTCACCAAAACCTTCATTTATCAAATCCATGAAGCAAACGAGCCTAAGAAAAGTTATGTATACAGTCATCAATGTGTATACATCTCATAGAATGAATTAACACTGGTCTGTATGAATCAATGTTAATGTATTTTTAAATGATTTGGGATTGTTTGAAAGTTATGTATGTTACATCATTTGTATTGTAATGAATTATTATAATATAAATGCATAAATTAGTACAATATGTACATTTTGATATTAATTTGGCTATGAAAATAGTTAATGTTAAATCGTTTGTATTATAAGTTGTGAATGTTAAATCCTTTGAATTATAATGAATTACTATAATATAAATAGTCAAATAAATTATAAGTACAATATGTGCATTTTGATAATACTTTGGTTGTTGAGTTTTCACTTTATGGATTAATTTACATAAAGTTAGTTCATGGGAATGCCAAATATATCCTTTATTTAATATAAAAATATAAAAGCAAAATACATTTTTATAGTTATAATAATTATTCGCGTTGTGACAATAATAACCACTTTTTGAAAAATACACAGATATAGCCACTTTTTTCAAACTTGTTTGACAACTTTAACCATTTCCCTTAAAAACTTTAGCATCGTCATAAACGCCGTCAATAACCTCTATGTGTCGCAGAAGTGGATGCCACCTGGATTGAACTGAAAAGATGCATTTTATCGT